TAGTGAACCTGAAAACTGCCTTTTCTCAGTTTTCAGGTTTTACATTATTTACGGCCTCCAAAAACAACTGTTTAACATCATGAATTTTAAAAGTGGTATTTTTTCTTGAAACTTCACTCTTTATCTGTGCCCATACCAGTTCCTACCCCAGTCGTAGATTCCTGGAATTAAAGAATTAAATGTTTGATTGTTGAAACCCTTACTTCGTGGAACGCACTCATTTCAGATAAAATAAAACGTTTTATTTTATCTAAAGAATTAAACTTTATTTTGGAAATAGGTAGGTACTTATTTAACTTTTATTGGTTATATATAACCAATAAAATAAACATCTTACATTTCTTGCAAATTCATTAGTACCTGTTAACCTCCATCACTCCGACACTGGCAACCTTATTTAGGGATTAGTAACCCTCACAACTATTGTATTCTATTCTGCTTCAAACTTTATACCTGGTGGTCATACTCAATTTAAAATTGTTTGCCTATATACTTCTGTAAACTTGTTGACAAATATCTATTTTTCATTGAGTCACCCGTATCAACAGTTTAGGGATTTGCATACATAATTTATTGTTTTATTACTCTCTCATACATAAAAATACACTATAATATGGGGATTATTTTAAATGGAACACCATGGATATTAATTAACAATTATGATTGCGCTAAGAACTTTAACTTTTCTTAACGTAGGTTTTCTTTGCCAAAATTAATATCCCAACTTTTCATTTAACCAAACAAATTTACAATGCTATGTTATTTACGTCATTATAACAACTTCTCTCTACAAGCTTACTCCCCTTGTACATTGTTACTCGGGCGAGTCCATTAGTCTTACAGGTTGCAACTAAACACTGTTGCAAGACTGACCTAAAAATCTAATATTATACAAAATGAAAAGTCCCAAACACGTAATACTAAAAAAAGTTTCCTCTTTTAAACGGTATAAAGATGTCCCATACTTAAGTCTCATTGTTTGCGTAATTTACAATTAGTTAAACTCGTCATCGGTATGTTGATTTTAAAACAAAAGATATAGTTAGTTAATGTCATTGTATGACATTGTCTCATGTCCGTGAAGTATTACACCATCCATGAAAGAGTTGACATGGTACTTTGCATTGGAGAATGTTTGGAAAATTGTCTCTTAGCTTCTAAAGTTTATGCTCAAAGTATCCTGATAGAAGACACCCACACAAGGAAGTTTTTGAGAGATTGCTTAATAGATTCTGTGCTACTTTTAATGTTGCATACGAAAAGGTAAATAAAAATAAATCAGTTAATGGTGACAGCGTTAACGAACTTAATATCCTGCTTTCTGTTACGGAAAACCCAAATATTAGTACAAGAACAATTTCGGGTCTATTAGAAATTAGTCAAACTAGTGTATGTAGAATACTTAAAACCAACCACTTTCATCCGTATCATATTCAACTTGACAAGCATTTGACAGAACAAGATTATGGTAATGGTCTAGTAAATAGACATAATTTTCATTATAATGACACAGAAAATAAACATTTATTTCGTACTGTTGATCGCCAACACCGATGGAGTGTTATTGATTCGATTATCTAATCGAGTCAATTATCAAATCAAATCGAATTAAATCGAATCGAATAGAAATAAAATAAAATACAACCTATAGAATAGAAAAATATAGAATATAACAGAATAAAATAAAATCTATATAATAGAATAATACAGAATATTATAGAATAAAATAAAATAAAGTAAATTAAAACCTCCGCTCCTTACTCAGACTATAAGAAAGCTATGCTTCCTCTCCTCGGTCACTTTCAGAGTGCCACATCCCGCTTTTTGTTTTTACTTGAACCCATCATACCGCTGAATCTCCATATAGTATCTGCCAAATCTAAAGGAAAACGATGAAACGAAGTTAATTTGATTAAATTTCAGTAAAATAGCATAAAAAAAATAATTATATTGATGTTATACTTAGTATAAGTTACTATACTTAGTATGAGAATAATTATGAGTATAAAATTAATATAGGTAATAGGAGTATATGTACTAACTTATCTGCTTTAACTCACCGAACTTCTCCCAGGGAAAAATTGTCGCCGTTCTGAAAATGTGGACAACATATTTACAATGGGTAAGTTATCAGACTGGTCTTTGGAAAAATCCTCTTCGGTTATTTTAAAAAAAATTGCCTTAACAAAAATAATCAAATAATATGAATCCTTGAATGAATCCTAATCCTTGAACATTTGTATATATGACTTCACGCCCAATGAGGGCGTATTTTGAACTAGATGCTATAATTTTAATTATCTCTCGATTTTAATCATGTTTAGGGGCCGAACGAAAGACAAAAACAACTTTTTTTCTTTGATATACATTTTAAATTACGTTCTATTGTGATTTATAGCAATTTTTTCACATTTTCAATTTTATGCAAGTTTCCTATTGATTATAATACCGCTGTCATGTGGAAGTGCGCCATCTTTTTCCCATACCATCTCAACTCCTCTTTCGCGTAAAGGAATATGCTCCAGTTAGAAAGGTTACATTTTTCAGAAAATTCAGATATCTTCGACCATTTAAATATTCTTCAAAAATATATGAAGCAATTAAACGGCCATTAAACATGGCGATTTACCATAATAATCAGATTATTATGCAAACGAGCTTCATCACTCCAAAAATTCTAGTTAAGAAGGCATGAGTGTCTTGCATCATCACTTGCATTATGGCGATGAAGGTTAGTCTTCGATCCAAATCGGTGGGTCGCAATTCAGGTACAAAACAGTTTAAATGGATGGTAATGGTGGTTTTTTAAAATCCTTTAAACTATAGTTGAAGACATGGCACTCCAGTTTCTGCAGCAATGGACACATGTGGATTAATCGTTACATACGCTAAAATATTCACCAAGTTGTGTTCGGTCTTTATTGGTTTAACATGATCTCCATGTTTACCATTCGAAAATTAACCTTGCTACATCTTCTTCAAAGTAATATAAAGACAGTGTTCTTCGTTCGGAAAACCATTCCATGTATAAGGCTTAACCATAAATCAACTACATATCCACGTAGGTATTCATTAGATGTGAATAGGAAATGCATTTTTACTATTGTATGAAGTCACGATATTTCCAAATTCTGTTTTAAAACTACAATGAACGTATTAATGATTGAACACAAGAAATGACATTAGCTGTTACTATTTGTCAAAAAACGATTTAAATAAAATCTTAAGGAAAATTTGGTTTTCTTGTGAATTTGTAAAAACCATATAATATGCTACTTTCAGGTTAATTTGGAGATGATAAATGCACCATTAAATTTAAAATTTAGTCTATTCAATAACAAAATATAATAATAAAACGAATTTCGTTGGACCTAACCTTCGCCCCCATGATACATATTTAATTTTTTCCTTTGTAATGACGTCGCAGCGCACGTAATGACGTCACAGATCTCATGTATACACCGACTGATAGTATTGTAGATCCTCCTGTAAATTGACATTTCTCAATTTGGTACTGTATAAAAACCATTGAACCGTTGAATATAAATGATACAATATAGAAATTTCGGGATCAACTAATGAGATTTGTGGATGAATATGTTGATATGCTTGAAGTTTTATTAAATAAATGTACTGAGTTATTTTTAACGTATAATTGGATAGATGTAATATATAATTTTGCAATGAATGAGTCAAGTCAATTTTTACTTATTATATATATATATATATATATATATATATATATATATATATATATATATATATTAATTAAGAGTCAATTTTTTAAGAGCTTTTCAATTTAATCCTCATCTTTACTGGAAGGAGTATTTACTAGGAACAAACCACAATTTTCATTAAAAATACATTATATTTGACATTTCTCGAAATTCTTGAAATAATTTAATTTGATCCCCCTTCTTCGGTGACGGCCCCAGTCGCAGACTCTGTCTCTTTCCCAAATCCGTCGCAACGGTCTTAATCAGGGCCATAGATAAATAATATAATAGTAGAAATAGATAGGCAACTCAATGTATAAATTTCGTTCATTAGGACCCCTTGCGGCTGGGGTTAATACTAATCATCTTTTGGCGGCAAATTCGAATGGACACCCCTTACATACATAACCTTTAGCGCCTCTTGTGGGCTATTTCTGTACTAATTAAAATTTACTGGAAAATAAGGATATATAAAAGATGCACAATTTTTTCTAGATACACGTATATTTATTTGTTAAGATAAAATAGTTACAAACTAATTACATAATATATATTGCACATATTTTCAGAAGTTAAATACTATTATTTTTTGCTTCCTGACAACTTACTATCATCATCCTCTTTGTAATTTTTCCATGATTTGTACACAACGGAACAATACAATAATTCACCATGTTAGTTTCTTTACTAGCACAACACAAAAATTCTTTGCTACAGTAGGTAACTCAAACTAAACTTTAAAAACTAAGTAACCAAATTTAAATTAAAATTACTATGAATAAATGCAAAAGAAAGTTAAAGATAAAATAAAATTGAAAACTTGTAAACAAACGGAAGATCTGTCATTACTTTTGACAGAATTGACATTGCTTCGTTTGATTATTTTATTTGGTTTATGATTGGTTAAAGTCTTCGTGAGAGAGATAGGCTGTCATTTCTCTTTATTAACTCGCTGGGGTTAAAGTGATGGGAGAATGAACCAAGTCATTCATATAAGATTCCAGGCCATGATCAGGGCATTACAGGCAAAACTTCAGCACAGTAAGGCAGTTTCCACAGAACGTAATGTTACCATAAGACGGTTTGATGTGCTCTGGGTATACCTGTTCATCGAGTGTTAAGCGAAGAACTTATAAAGTAGCATATTTATACATAGATATACAATAAGCTAATATACTACAGATCGATAGATTTAGAACAGACGGCTTCCAGAAAAAACCAAGCTGAATTTTAGAGATATTTTGAAAAATTTACATTTATAATAATAGTTATTTTTGGTTTTAGATATAGCCCAAAGTTTTTAAAAAAGAGCAAATTAGTACCTATGACGTTGGCCAGACAGAAGTATCCTCGTCCATCACTTGAGGATCTTCGAAAGGCTTTTAACACTTCCATATCGTTTTTAGTAGCTCGGCACCCTTTAGAAAGACTTCTTTCGGCTTACCGAGACAAGCTTCAGTATGCGTTGCCTCACACGCACCACAAGAAACTAGGAAACGAGATTATCATGAAGTATAGATATAAAAAAGTAAGTAAAATAAGATATTTATTACATCTTTTAGGATCACTTTGGTTTTTTCTTCTCCCTATTTCCAGATAACTAATTAGTTTTGCTTCATAGAATCGTTAATATCGGATATTTCAAATATATTTGGTAGATCGTATAGAATAAAACGCTTTAGCCTTGGTTCAGTCACAAACTCTACTGCTAGGGAGTCTGGGTGTATACTGTGTGTTAGTAAATAAGTGCGACAAACTTCAGGTGGTTGATTATGCATGTAAAAATAATAGTTTGATGTATAAACGTATGTCCGCAAATGCTGAGATATTTCAAATTAAAAATTATTTTTAAATGACTTAGTCACTTTTCTAATTTAAAAGTGGTTTCATTTAAAATGGCTGAAACTTTTCAGGGAAGCAGTTTGGTTATGCTGATCAAAAATTATCATTGCGCCAAGACTCAGAAATCAATTGTTTCTGAGTTACAGAGGTTCAAAGTGACGGTTTTTAGTCCTTTTGAATAATATATATTTGTAAAATATAAAGAGTTTTAGTAAATACGTGCAGCTAACTTCATGGAGTGATTCTGCATGAAAAATAATGACAGGTTCTGTTGACAGTTGACTGTAAATGCTTCGTTTTCCGAGATACGGGGTGTTGAAATTTTTCTAACGATTTAATGGCGTGCAAAAGGGTAATGGACTCATTTTTTTTAAGAAAAAATGGTACGCCACTGAGATTTTTCAAATTAAAAATTTTTTGTGAGTTCTTTATTTAATTCTCAAAAAATCTTTTTCTTTTTTTCAATGAGGTGCTGTTTATATGCAAAAAAAACATCTTAATGAGTACTTTTTAGTTCTTTAATAAATTATCAAAAACTATCTAATACAATAATATTAAACCAAAACAATAACAGAAAGTACTAGTAATATAATTTTAAATAGGTACACAGCTACAAAATATGTTCAAAATTACCTCCATGAAACGGGACACAAGTTGCAACTCTTAGCTTAATTGGTTGTCATATTCGTGCAAATAGTCTTGGTGTTTTCTTATTTAAAAGTAATTTAGTTCACTTTCATTGGCTGAAACTTTGCAGAGAGATCATGCTGATCAAAAGTTCTTAGTACCCCAAGATGCAGAAATCAATTTTTTCTGAGTTATAGAGCTGCAAAATACCGGTTTTTAGTCCATTTTTCATAATAATGAATTTGGAAACGTAGGTATCGCGATATTTCACTAAGATATCCACGTGGATATTCTACCCAAGACAGTTCACTTTATTTTTGACAGAAAAACATATTGGTGTGTTTATTGAGATTCAGATGCCGTATATTAAATGTGTGGGACGGTATGTTTCCCAATTTATGATTTTCAAAAATGGGCTAAAACCGATATTTTAGAGCTCTATAACTCAGAAGCAATTGATTTCTTAGTTTTAAAACTTTTGATCAGTGTCTCTGCAAAGTTTCAGCCAATATACTGAAACACTTTTACAGAAGTAAATAAGAAAAGACCAGGAATATTTGCACGAATACGACAACCAATAAGGCTTGTGTAACTTGTGTCACGTTTCAAGGAGGTATATTTTTTGTAGCTGTGCGCCTATTTAAAAATTATAATATTAGTATATATATATATATATATATATATATATATATATATATATATATATTTATATATACACGAGTATATATATAAGAAATACTGGATATTAATGACTGTCGATATAAACAAACAACACAGTTTATTAGGGCTGCCGCCAGAAGTTTGACCGAGATGTTAAAGAAACACTCTTTTGACTTTTTGTCTAGCTTTCGGAATTGTTTTATTCCTTTTTCAAGACACTATAATATAAAAAGAATATGTAAATATTTACAAAATATCACAATTCGTCAGTAAAACTTACTAATCGTTGAGATTATTTATAAAAAGCTTTGACACTCAACATTAATATACAACACAAATATAAAATATACAATAATGGACAAAATGCATTCTAAAATTTAGGTAAGGATAGTAAAACTTAGTTTATGACATCTTTTGATGGTGTGTTTTAACTCTGATACATAGAGAACAGAAAGAAAAAACAATATGATTAAAATGTAATTAGGTGTTCTTAATATTGTATTTCTTTTCAAGAACCAAGAGGTCCATCCTGGCTGATTCTACTTTTTAATTTTTAAACCTGTCTTATTGGCATGCACCATCATGTTACGCCACTTTCTGCTAACTCCAATTTCCTCAAGGGTCTCTTTTAATTCCTTGTTCTTTATTCTATCGTATGCTTGCTGGAAGTCGATGAATAGCGCTATCGTTGGTAAGTTGTGTTCATAGCTTTATGCTTGTAATTATCTGATTATGAATACTTGGTCCGTTGTGCTTCTCCTTCGTCTAAATTTGCACCGATATTCGCCTATTATATTTTCAACTTCTTTTCTAGCTTATCTTTTATGGATTTTGATAGGATTTTATATACGGTATTTAGTAACACTACTCTGTAATTACTGCATTCTGTTTTGTCTCCTTTTTTGTGTAATGGGCAAATAATTGTTTTTCAGATTTTTTATGATTTTCTCGATTTATTCTTTGCTGAGTGACTTATCCTCTATGTCGTCTAAGTGTTCGATTCTTGCTTCTGCTTCCATACCTTCTCTTGGGTTTGACTTATTATTGCCATTTAGTAATTCATCAAAATACTCTTTCCATCTTTCGACTATTTCTGCTTCACCGCTTTTATTATTTTCTGCTTTGTTTTTAACGAATATAGGTTTGTGTTGGAAACTTCATTTTTCATTTCTAGCACCTTGATATAGGTTTTTATTTCTTTATTTTTCTTCTATTTCTTTTAACTTATTTTTTGTTCTGTTTTCTTTTCTTTTCTCTCAACACTCGCTTTACTTTTTGTCTTTGCTCCATATATCTATTCTTTGTCTCTGTTGTTTCTTTCGTGATCATTTCCATCCTTAATGATTTTCTTAGTTCTATTTCTTTTTGGCACTCTACGTCGAACCAGTCGTTTCTCTTTTTATTCTCTTGTTTATTACATTCTTTTGCTGCTTTGTTCACTACTTGCTTTATGTTTTCCCATTTGTTTTCAGTTTGCTCTTGTATTTGTATCTTTTTAGTTCTCTTTCCATTGTTTCCTCGCACATTTCTTGCTCTTTCTTTGTTGCTAATCGAATTGGGTTATTTATACATTTCTTTTCTTTTATTTTTGTTTTCATATATCAGTTGCTTAATTTTGATGCCCACCATGTAATGATGTGAGTCAGCGTCGGGTCCTCTCTATGTTCTTATCTTCTTTATACATTGCTGTTTTTCTTTTTCGATAAGCACGTAGTTTATTTGGCTTTTAGTCTTTCTATCTGTTTCTATATATTCTTTTCTTTTGAAATATGTGATGATTATGATCATATTTTTTTCTCTTGCGAAATATATCAGGAATTGTCCGTTCTCATTAGTTTCATTGTGTTTACTATATTTTCCAATTGTCGGTCTAAATACTTCTTCCTTCCGTATTTTGGCATTTGCGTCGCATAAAATAATTTTCATTTCATATCTGGGTATATTTTCGATTGTTCTGTTTAATTCACTGTAGAAATATTCTTTGGCATCATTATCTTTTTCTTTTCAAGGGGCGCGAATATTTATGAGGGTGATTTTTTGGTATTTTCCCTTAAACCTGATACTACATATGCGGTCTGATACTGGTTTAAACTCTACCATTACTTCTTTTAGCTCTTTTCTTATCATAAAACCTGTGCCTAACGTTCGATTCTTTCTGTCGCTGTTAAAAATCACTTTATCTTCTATTACTAATATATCATTTCCCAGCTTTTAGTCTCCTGCGAATCTATTATGTCAAAATGGAACTTTTCGATTTTTCTCGCTAAATGTTTAAGTTTGCCTTCTCCATATGTGCCACTTGCACTCTATGTTCCTAAAAGTAACTGTTCTTTTCCACAAGTTTTTTTGTGTTTTGTCCCGATTTTCATTTTTTTCCCCTTTTTTCCTTTTTTTTTTTGTAGTATCGCTAAACTTTTTCTGTGCTTGTTTCGTCAACGTTATACTAGTGGTACAGTTCGCTGCTAGTTTTTTATGTTGTTTTGACTATTGCGCCTTCTTTGCCATTCCACTTACATTCGCTGTTACTTACCCATATTTTTTTAACAACAATCTTGACTTCATTTCCTTTATTTCTTTCTTCTTGAGCAACGTTTCTAATTGTTTTTTGTATTACTCGTTCTTTTATGGTTGCATCTTAGTTAATATATACTTTGTACTTTTACCTATAGTTGTGCTTTTTTTCCATTATTTTACTTTTTTCTTCTATTTTTTCTAATTAAATTAGGTATGTTTTTCGCCAAGCTTGTGAGCTTATTTTAACCTCTAGTCCTATTCGCTGTGAGTTTCGCCGATAGCGCTCTCTCGCGGTTTGAAACTTGTACTTTTCTTGTAAAATCGGTGTAAGTGAAATATGACAAAACGAGAAAAATAGATATTTATCTTAAAATACAAAATTATGAACTAAAATATTATTGTAAACTGATTACTGAACGAATATACAGAATTAATAGTAAAAGTAATTACGCCTTTTTATTTTATTCATTATAATTTTAATATTTAAGATATAAGTTCCTGAGACTTGATGACTACTTACGTAAGAGGCCATGGAGAAAAAAAGAAGTTTATGTGAAAATATTTAATGGTTAAAGGTTACCTTTACCTCTCGTAACTATGATACTATGACTAAGAAGATAAGATAACGCATAAGTCGTGACGTCATTGGAGAGTTGCACGTTCGAAATGTCAGTTTTTTGTGTGTATCAATAAATAATCTTTAATAAATAGTTTGGAGATATCCTTATGTGTACGATTATTGTAATTATTAAACCTCTTAACTTATTTTCGTCTAGTAATTTCATCACAGAATGCATACAAATCCCATTTAACTTTAACAGGAATTCAAATTCTACTCTCCAATGACGGCATGCGTGAACACGACCGATTTTGTGCTACGGGAAG